TTGACAAACTTCCCCCCCCCGGGGGGGGGGGGTGACCATGCCACAATCCTTTTCTCCATTCTCTTCTCAAGATTCTGGGTGTGCCTGCACATGGGCCTGGTGTGATTTTCAAGCCATCAAGTCTGAGAAGTCTGTGGTCGGCCAGGCTGGTAGTCCAGTGCCTTCAACATGATGCCACCTGCTGACCCCACTTGCTTATGTTTTCTCCCAGGGTATATTGAGTATTTGAGAAAATCATCATCATCATTATTATTATTTTTAATTTTCTGGAGGGTGCATGCACTTGCTAGAGAGACAGATAGAAAAAGAAAGTGAGAAAACAACCCCACATGGTCGTCTGGCGGTGCCTTTTCCCATTTCTCCTTTCAGGACTTTGACTTTGGTGTGTTTCGGAAGAATCTAAGTTCAGGACTTGAACCATTCAGTCAGACATAGGATCTAGCTGCCTTAAACACTGCACTACCAGCCGGCCATGTTAACTAACTAATTAATTAATGATTTTTCAAGAGAATTGAGGTTTATTTGACTACAGTTCTGGCCATGTGCATGGTCTAAAGGCATTATGAAATAGTGAAAAGCAGGATCTTGAGCAGAATGGCTGCCTCTCAGTTTCCATGATTAATTTTCAAATAGAGCTAATTATTTTGACAGATTAAATTGAAATATCTTATATCTAAAGTTACTTATTGTTGTTGAAATCTATCAGTCTATTTCCAGAAACATCCAGAAATTGAGATATGATTAAAATATTCAAGTGGCAGGTTGTTAAAAATAGAAGTATTGGCTAAGGCCTAAAAACAATACATGAGGTTATCGGAAAAGTCACAACGATTTTTTTTCTATGCAAAAATGCTTCAGGACTTTTTTTGATAACCCAGTAGCCAGATCACTGTGTGACTTACAGTTGTAATTTGATTTTAAGAGCTAGCAGTGGGCTGGCTGCCTCTTGGGTTTTTTGACTGGAATGAAATGCCTTGTAGGGTTTTCCTGTATCTTCAAATTTGTAGAGGCAAAGGATGTGAGGTTCCCATAGATCAGATAGGGGCCCACGAGTCTGTGTGGGATTTTTCTTAGGTCCTGTTCCAGAGGACCCTTTAAAGAGTGAGGAAACACCAACAGAAATTGAATGACTGGATTCCCAGGAGCTGAGGAAAGAACCAAGAACAGGCAGAGGAGGGTGCGTACCAAGCACCAAGGGTTCCACAGGACAGAGGTCCATAGAGATGGGGTCAGTCTCAGAAGAACCCATGGAAGTATCCAAGAGAGGGTTCTTCTGAGACTGTCCCTGGTGCTGTGGTGGTTAAGGTGACTGGATCCCATGTGGCTGACTGCACAGTTTGCGTCCCAGATCATGTGGCTTGAAAAACACTCCTAGCATGCCGCATGCGTGTGTCCAAAATTCCACAAGGAGGGAGAAATGGAGGAGACAGGATTGCATCGTGACCATCCCCTTGGGGGCGCTCTCTCACTTTGTCTCTCTCTCGTTCTCTGTCTTGAGGTGTATATATATACATCAATCTATAGATATAGATATCTGCGTGTGTATATATACAATATATATACATAAATTGAAAATCTGTATATACATAAAATCTATGTGCACAGATATATATATAGAGAGATATCTGTATACATACAAATACACACAGAGAGAAGAAATATATGGATATATATACACGTATATACAGAGAGATACAGACCTATTTCTTTCTCTGTATATTTAACCTGTGTGTGTGTATAAATAAGTAAAACTCCAGTGAGCGTGCACACTCTCTGGCAAAAGAAAAAAGTGTCCAGGAGAAAGTTTTAAATGCCTCAAGTCCAAGGAGCACCAGCACCATGTTTTTATTAGAGTACACTCAAGTAGGGACTTTCCTTCTTCCCTCCCTCCTCCTTCCCTACCTGCCCCCATTATGGGTGAGTTGGAGAAGAGACTGAGACTTGCTAGGTCCACAACCTCTTCCCCTCTCTAAATTGCAGGTGTTCTGTCCAGAGGAGGCCTGAGCTAGAGTAAGAGGAAAGTCTCAACTTTAAAATAGTTTCAGAGTTTTGGTAATTAATTTTATAAGTCAGCGGGAGGCACAAATAATGTTGCTTTATGACTACATTTTGAGTTAGTGTATTTAATAATAGTAACATTCATTTATGAAGGTATTTGCTAGATTAGAAAATCTGTAAAATTTTTTTTTAGTTTGTGATATACTTTAGTATGAATATGAAACATCTTCAGATTCTTATCAGTGGCTATGGTTTTCTCTATTCAACTAAGATTCAGTTGGGGGACCAGCAGTTGGCATAATGGCTATGTTGCTGGACTCCCATGTAGTCGACCGCGGTTTGAGTCCCAGACCCAGTGGCTTAAACTCATGCCAGGCGCGTGTGCGTGCATGCCCAAGATCCCGAGAGGAGAATAGAGGAGAAGGGATTGCGGCATGGCCATTCCCCCTGTGGGGTGATTTCTCGCTTTCTCTCTCTCTGTCTCCCTTTGGCTAGTGCACGTGCCCTGTAGTAGAAACCTCTCCAAAAAAAAAAAAAATTAATTGGAAATAAAACAGAATCTGTAAACTATTAAGTAGCACCTTTTCTTCCAAGTTTGGTATTTAAGCAACTTCGCATTCCTTTTCTTCCATTTTAGGAGTAAATTTTTTTTTAATCGCTAGAGGGTACATGTGTTTGCGGGGGTGGTGGGGACAGAAAGCACTCCTCAATGAGGTGTAGTCATGCCACTTCCCCTTATCCTCATTCCTCTTTACCATCAGGATTTTGGGCATGCATGCACAAATGCTCAATGTGTTTTTCAAGCTGCCAGGGCCAGGATTTGAACTGTAGTCAGCCATGCAGCATCTACTTCCATTAACTGCTAAGCTACAGGGCATCCCTTCAATAATAAACTTTTAATGAAAAACTGAATAATTTGACTATGCCATTATTTCTTAGGGTTGCAGACTTTTTAAATGTATTTCTAATAGGGGAATCCTGAAATCCAGAGTATATTGTGATTTTGATTTATACAGAATTACTGGTTGGAATAAACACAACAGAAAACAAACAACTTCATCTTCTGGTGCTACAGGAGAGATTTCGGCAACAATATGACTCCTTCCTTCTTTCACCTAAACAGGATGAGTAGTCATTTAAAGAGAATATGTCAGTTGAGTCATATTCTTCTGTGAAAGAAGATAATGAAACCTGCGGCCCTCGAGCTGAGCACCGTGTGTGCTGGCTTATATTTACTGGAATGTTTAAAGCTTAGAGGAAGTTTCCATCATGCGGAACAAGGAAATTTGAGTGTCATAGCTGGGAGCACAGTTGATATGCCAGAATGAAAATTTCTAATGACTCTTAGTAATAAAGTATATCCAGCAAGCACTTTCAGTATTTTAGCTTTCTAATTTTAACTCTTTCATCAAAGAAATACATTAATTTTTATTTTTATTTTTTGGAGAGGTTTTTGTTATAGGGCGTGTGCGCTCACCAAACAGACAGAGACAGGCAGAAAGACAGAAAGCGAGAAATCCCCCCCCCCCCGGGGGGGGATGGTCATGCCGCAATCCCTTCTCCTCCGTTCTCCTCTCGGGATCTTGGGCACGCATGGACACGCACCCAAAGTGAGTTTTAAGCTACCGGGTCCAGGATGCGAACTGCAGTCGACTACATGGGAGTCCAGCAACATAGCCATTACACTAACTGCTGGTCCCTACACTAATTTTTAAAAGTTAAGTAATACCACAATTTTATGACAGATCTGTTCTTCTGCACACTCTCTGCCCACTGTCAGTATTATTCCCTGGAGACCTCTTCTTCCAAGGCATGATTGTTTCTTCCCTGCTGTTTTCTCTTTTATTCTTTTCTAGAAATCTTTAGTGGACATGGATCTCCTACATTGAACCCCTAATTTTCTTATTTATTTATTTATTTGAGAGGTTTTTGCTATAGGGCATGTGTGCTTGCCAGAAAGACAGAGACAGAGAGACAGAAAGCAAGAAATCACTCCCCAAGGGGATGGCCACACCGCAATCCCTTCTCCTCCATTCTCCTGTCGGGATCTTGGGCACACACGCACATGCACCCGGCATGAGTTTAAGCCACTGGGTCTGGGACTTGAACCGCATCTACTACATGGGAGTCCAGCAATATAGCCATTATGCCAACTGCTAGTCCCAAACCCCTAATTTTCTTACTGTTGTATTTTCCTTGTTTTGTGTACACTCTTGTGCCTTTGGGGGGTGTGTGTCTTTTTGAGAATTCCTTTATCTTTTTGACATTTCCTAACTTTGCTTTCTCTGTTGAATTATTACTCATTTTTTTTTTTTTTTGTATCCATTGACTTTTTTTTTTTTAAGAGAGATTTTTACCATAGTGCATGGGCGCTCACCAGAGAGACAGAAAGTAAGAAATCACCCTCCCTGGGTGGGAGATGGCCATGCTACAATCCCTTCTCCATTCTCCTCTCAAGATTTTGGGCGTGCACACATGCTGGGTATGAGTTTTAAACTGCCAGGTCCAGGACCAGAGAGTGACAGAGAGAAAGAGAGACAGAGCAAGAGAGAGAGAGAGAGAAAGTGAGAAAGCAAGCCACCAGGTCTCAGACTTGAACCGCATTCAGCTATGTGGGAGTCCAGCACCTTTAACCACCACACCACCTACAGGCCCCTACGGCCTTTTATTTTAATCCCCTTTTTTCATTTGGGCACCTTACTTTTGCTATGGTTTTATAGGCTGTGCATGATATATAGGAGCCTCAGTTTTAGCATCTGCAGAGAATAAATTTCAGTTTTCCTTCCTGAATTGGAGAAAGTAGTGGTCTGGCTAAAACTAACCATGAGTTGCCTCAAAGCTCTTTTTTTTTAATATCTTCTATAATGTTGACATACCTTATTTATAGATTCTCTCCCTCTTTCTCTTTTTTTTTTTTAAATTGCCAGGTATCTTACCAGAAGACAGAGAGAGAGAGAGAGAGAGCACTCCCCACCCACAGTGTGGTGTGCTTATGCTGTAAACTCTTCTCCATTTCTCCATCCTCTCAAATTTCGGTCATACATGCACATGTGCCTGGCATGTTTTTTAAGCAGCCAGGGGCCAGGATTTCAATCATGGTTGACTCTGTGGGATCTAGCCTTGTTTTCTTTTTGAGTTTTCCTCCTTTTTTACGCCTTTATGAATGTTTTCCACATATTTGAATAGCAATTCTTTTTTTTTTTTTTTTTTAATGATACATTAAGTTTCTTTCTTTTTTTTTTGGAGAGATTTTTGCTGTAGGGTGCTTGCACTTGCCACAGAGATAGAAAGAGACTGAGAGGGAAAGTGAGAAATCACCCCTTAGGAGGATGGCCATGTGTAGTCTGTTCTCCATTCTCCCCTTGGGATTTTGGGCATGCACACACACATGCCCAGCCTGAGTTTCAAGCCACTGGGTCCAGGACTCAAACCACTGTCAGCCATATGAAAGTCTAGCACCTTAACCTCTGTGCCACCTGCTGGCCCCTATTTCTGCTACGAGAGGCAAAGAGGTGAGAGAAGAAAGGCATCCCTAATAGGGTCTTCACACCAGGATTTGTCCTCAGTTTCAGCTGGCCTGCTCCAAGGGCACATGTGAGCCTGTGTGTTCAGGGACATGTCCAGATGCAAACCCGAAACCTCTCCCTGTGGATCCAGTGTTACTACTCTGCCACCACCTGGCATGGGATCTAAGTTCTGTGAGGATCTTACTGAGCCACGATCCTCTCACTCAAGCCTCCCAGTCAATTAGGATTATAGGCAAGGACTACCGAATAGGCATGTTTAGGTCAATTTAAGATCTGAACCTGGGCCTCCCATGTGACCCCAGCCTCAGTGCAGCAGCATCTCACTGCTTACCTCACACACCCTTCACAGCTGGATCTGGATACCAGTTTTTTATAAAGGGCTAAACATACTGCTTTGTGGGAACAAATACCAAATGTGTTTTATAGTGTGGTAGATTGTTAGGAATATTCAGCTTTGTATAAAGATGATTGACATTTTAAAATACTGTTAAAAATGGGATAGAACACAAACAGAAATTTCAGAGCTTTTTTCACATATTTATATATGTTGCTTACCCGCCGGTAACCAACAGAATGCAGATTCTGCACACGCATGCCCAGAGTGGTCAGGTGGTTTCTGGACATGAAGCTGGAGCCGTCCCTTTTGGGTCATCCTTGAAGAGCTTCATGTTTTACCGCCACATCACCATCTGGCTGCTTCTTTACTTTTATGGTTTTCTGTGTTTTTATAATGATCAGGTGCAATCTTATGCAAGAACAATTTGTTTGAAGTTTTAACTTTCATGTTTAACTTATTTGGAGAAGCTTGCATGGTTCTATAAAAATAATTAAAGGTGGAGAAACCTCAGAACAAGTCTTGTTGCAGTGCAATCTTAGACAAGTATCTCTTGAATTTTATGTTTTTCTTTTTTTTAAGAGAGTTTTTTGCTGTAAGATGTGTACGCTCACCGGAGAGACAGAGAGAGAGAGAGACAGGAAGTGAGAAATCACCTCCCCAGGGGGGACGACCACGCCGCAATTCCTTCTCCTCCATTTTCCTTTCAGAATCTTGGGCACGCACGCACACACACCTAGTGTTGAGTTTTAAGCTGCTGGGTCCAGTCCTTGGTTGACCACGTTGGAGTCCAGCGACATAACCATTACACCATCTGCTGGTCCTGGATTTTGTTTTTAGCTGTAGACTGGAGTAGTTAAATATTGAGTACCTTTAGAAAAGGGGCCATATGTATAAGAAAATATATATGTGTGTGTGTGTATGTATACATATATGTATATATGTAGCTGGATTATAATACTAAGTTAGACATTGTTTAAAATTTTTTCCATGTTATACATGCTATCAGAAATGTGAAGAAAAACAGTGGAAATCTATACAGCTTTTTTCAAATCAGCCCTTGGAAATTGGTATTCAAAATTCACAGAATATGTAATTATGTGAATATGTAATTAAGATCAGATGAATTTAAAATTTGATTATAAAATGTTATCTAAGAGTTGTTATTTAGGCTTCTTAAAAAGCTATTACCATCCTTGTCAACAGTGTTTTTTTGTTTTTATTTTGTAGATGCCAAGTGCTTAAAATGAAATGCATTCTGTTCCTCACTTTAGGTCAGTTGGTGGTGTGTACTTTATGCTCCTGTGTCATGAAAACAAAGCAGATTTGGCTATTTTCTGCTCATATGCTTCCTCTGCTAGCACGACTCTGCCTCGTTCCTCTGGAGACTATAGTTATCATCAACAAATTTGCTATGATTTTTACTGGATTGGAAGTTCTCTATTTTCTTGGGTCTAATCTTTTAGTACCTTATAATCTTGCTAAGTCTGCATACAGAGAATTGGTTCAGGTAAGACTGACAACCATGCAAAGATAAATAAAATTCTATGTAAATGTTAAGGACATTAAAATCTATTTTTATTTCATAGTCATCGTTTTTATAGTTTCAAAACAGCAGTGGTTTCCAATCTAGTTAGGAGCATCTGGCATTCTTTATTAGGAAGGCAATAAAGAAGTGGTTCTCTGGAAGCAGATGGGGGTGGCTAATACCCTGCTCCTGTTTACTAGCTGTAACCTTGGGATAATCACTTAATTTTACTTTCTGTAAAACGGAGCTAAAAATAAGAGTTGTACTTCTCTCAGGGTTGCTGTGAGATTTAAATGAGTTCAATGCCAGGGTGATGACCTTCAGTATGTGTCAACTATAGCATCAAGACAAAATAATAAAGAATTGAATAACTAGACATCAAGTCCTGATTTTCTCCTGATTGTAATCCTTCTGTGACTGGTTTCTTCCTTTTGTTTATCTAATGTAGTTAAACTGAAAAGTTAAATAGTTTTGGCTTGTAATATGGTGACTTCCACGTAGATGCAGTGTTTGAACTGATGGCCAACCTTAACATCCGTCTTGGTATGCCGTCTCTCCCCTACTATTTTTAGCCTTTGCTCTCAGACAGATTATTTTCAGATACAAACAGTCGACACTTGGGAGGTAAATGTTTCTGTTTGGTGTTTTAGTATATAAAATAGATCTCAAGCCTGATATTTGTATAAAAAGAGAGTGTTGAAATAGTCGTTCTCTTTCGCCTCCTGAGTGTGTACACGGTATATAAGGCACAGGAAGCTCTTAGATTAGTCAGACTGAGAGTCGGCAAAGTGTTCTCTTATGGCCCCAGGGACAAAAATAATTTCCCTAAACTCTTGACCTTCGCCTGATTCTACCGTCTGTTTTCCTCTTACACAATGATTAACTTGGGCATTTTTCCCAGAAGTAGATCTTCCAAAGAAGAGGAGGTTACCTCTACACTCTTAGTAAAGAGTTGCTTCATGGGGGAGGGTTGTAGGTGGATTCTGAATTAGAACAATACATTTAATTTAAGATAATATGATTTTTCTTTGAATTCAGAATTGTTATGCTATCCTAGTTTGCAATAAACAGTAGATATTTGCTAAATTCTTAGTGCATATCAAATATTTAGTAACCATAAAGACATATTTACTCTCTTGGTTAACTTAAAATTCTTGTATCACTTAGTATAGTACTGTTCAAAATAAATTATAGGTTATGAAATTTGTGACTTGGAAAGAATTGGATAAGCAAGAAATGGAAACTGTTGGATTTGTCTAGTGGCCTGTTCCTTGAATGGAAAAAGGAAAAGTATTCTCTTTATTTCATTGCTCAGTTTTCCTCTGATAATAATTTTGCAGCTGGTTGGGCAATTTCCTTTCTCTTTTAATATTTTTTAGTTGGGAAAATAGAGATAAACTGTGACTAAGTTGTCAAAAAAGCATTTGCTTTTCTAACGAAAAGAATTTTAATCTAGAATAACCTGCAAAGCAATGTACTTTGAGTTAATTCTGTAGAATATTAGTAGCTTATTGAAACATTCTGTTACCAGCTTGAGAGATTCTAGCAAGACAGTTGGCTGCTGTTACCAGGGTCTTGTCCCTAGCTCGATTACATCTGTGCTCTTGGATTGAGTCAGTTCTTGGGAATTGATTATCTATTTTGTAAAGAGATTGTTTTATAAACTGGAAAACTAATTTAAGTTATGGTAGCTTGGTAAGCTATTTTTTAGATGTACCTTTTTGTAGTGTGAATATAATTGGAAAACCAAATAAATTGAGAAGCAATTTTGGGAAAAAGACTCACTAACTTTGTTCTGCAGTAGAGCAAACTTCTCTGTTGATTAAATATTCTGTTTTCCATTGAACTATTTCTCACCAAGGGCATTTCTGGAAAAAACCTGAAATATTCTTTCCCATTTCCCTTTCCCTAGCGCCTCAAACGGTTGCTTCATACATGGTACTCTGATTGCTTTGGTTAGATATGTGTTTTACTACCTTTCCGCAAACTACTTTTGAGGTAATTTTTTATTTTTTATTTTTTTTGGAGAGATTTTTGTTATAGGGCGTGTGCGCTCGCCAGACAGAGACATAGAGACAGAAAGCGAGAAATAACCCCCCCCCTGGGGGGGATGGTGACGCCGCAATCCCCTCTCTTCCATTCTCCTCTCGGGATCCTGGGCACGCACGCACATGCGCCCGGCGTGAGTTTTAAGCCACCGGGTCCAGGACGCGAACCGCGGTTGACTACGTGGGAGTCCAGCGACATAGCCATTACGCTAACTGCTGGTTCCCGATGTGATCTTAATTTGACCTTATTCCTGAATTATTAGGGTAATTCACTGTTGCCTCAGATGAGTGAGTTATCATGTTAATAATAATGCAAAAGCAGTAAAATTGTGAAAATATGCTATTTTGTAAGTATGTATACAGCTGACTTTAAAGGAACTCAGCTGAATGAATCTTGCGATAAAAGAAAAGCTGTTTAGTTTTTCACTTTAAGTCCTTCACATTAAACTTTTAAGTGTTTAAAAAGTGTTTATTGAAGGTGATGCAAGATATTTCCCTTTGTTCTTTTCCTATTCAGGTGGTGGAGGTTTATGGCCTTCTAGCCTTGGGAATGTCCCTGTGGAATCAACTGGTAGTTCCTGTTCTTTTCATGGTTTTTTGGCTCGTCTTATTTGCTCTTCAGATTTATTCCTATTTCAGTACTCGAGATCAGCCTGCATCACGTGAGAGGCTTCTTTTCCTTTTTTTGACAAGGTAATTAATGAGAGCTTATGATACTGTGTATATAACCTTAGGAAGAGAAAACTTTAATTTAGGAATACTAAGTTCTACACTTTTTTTTTTTTAAGAATTATAATTATTTTAAACTTTTTGCTGTAGGACACATGTGCTCATCAAAGAGAGAAAGAGAGACAGAAAGTGAGAAAGCAAGCCACCAGGTCTGGGACTCAAACCACATCAGCCATGTGGGAGTCCAGCACCTTAACCATCACACCAGCTACTGGCCCTCCTACAGATTCCCTTTTATCAACAATATTACTTTATATTTAAGATACTCTTTCCATTCTGTGGATACCTATGTCTGGCAATGCAGTGATTTGCTAGTGCAGTAATGGCATGTCTGCTGCACTATGGGTCAGAGTATAGCAAATGGTTTGTAGAAAGATACGTAGCAAATTGTAAAAGTGTGTTTTCAATGTCAAGTTAAATTATTGGGTCAGTAAGAGAAAAGTATGTTACAAAAATAATTATGGCTTATTGAGTACTTAATATGTGCTACACTACTGAACACTTCCCTGTTTGTTAAATCTTCACAGCAATGGGAAGAGATAGGTGCCTTTGTTACCATATTATAGCTGAGGAAACTCCCACCAAAAATTATTTGCCCCAGGTGACACTGCTAAAAGAGGCAAAGCAGACACTGAAATCCCATTGGAGTTCAAAACTTTCTACTTATCGGGAACCAGCAGTTAGCATAATGGCAGCTGAGGAAACTCCCACCAAAAATTATTTGCCCCAGGTGACACTGCTAAAAGAGGCAAAGCAGACACTGAAATCCCATTGGAGTTCAAAACCTGCTACTTATCTATACATTTTAATTATGCCCTATCATTATTATTGTTATCATTATTATTATTTTAGGTTTTTGCCATAGGGTATGTATACTCACCAGAGAGTCAGAGAGAGTGAAAGGGAAAGTGAGAAATCACCCCCTAAGAGGGATGGCTACACCACATTCTCTTCTGCATTCTCCTTCTGGGATTTTGGGCGTCCACGCACATGGGCCTAGAGTGAGTTTCAATGCCCTATCATTATTATTGTTATCATTATTATTATTTTAGGTTTTTGCCATAGGGTATGTATACTCACCAGAGAGTCAGAGAGAGTGAAAGGGAAAGTGAGAAATCACCCCCTAAGAGGGATGGCTACACCACATTCTCTTCTGCATTCTCCTTCTGGGATTTTGGGCGTCCACGCACATGGGCCTAGAGTGAGTTTCAAACTGCTGGGCCCAGGACTTGAACCATGGTGGCTGTGTGGGAATGCATCACCTTAACTACCATGTCACCTGTGAGCCTCATGTTCTATTTTAATGTGTTGCTTCACTCTTGAGAGAGTCAAATAATTGGTGAAATGAGCATATTATAGTACTTTGTAGTTAACACAAAAGAATCCTAAGACTTGATTTTTTAGATAAGTTTTTTTTTTTTTTTTAATATTTTTAATTTTATTTACTCATTTCATTTTGACCAGAGAGTCACACACACACAGAGAAAGAGGGTGAGAAAGCAAGCCACCAGGTCCAGGACTTGAACCATGGTTGGCCATATGGGAATGTCCAGCGCCTTAACCACCACACCACCTGCTGGTCCCCTAGATAAGTTTTTTTTAAGTCTTCTGTGATTTGAGTCTGTTTCCCAGTTGAGTGTCTTTATTGTGAGTTTATGCTAGATCCACATTTGTGATTTTTTTCCTACCCTGAGTTTGACCCTTAAGTTCTGAGAATCTAACACATGGGTATATACGTCGGTTCCCTGGCTTATTGTTTTTCCTCCTAGAAAATATATATAGGCAGATAAAAGTTGTTTTTCAGCCATCCAGTGTGGTAGGAGAAAATGTTTAGTGGTATTGGGAAAAAGAAATTTAAGACATATTTACTGTTTTGTTTTTGTTAGCTGTTTTTTTGTTTTGTTTTTGTTTTTGTTTGTTTTTTTGCCATAGGGCATGTGCACTTGCCAGAGAGGAGAGAGAGAAAGAGAGAGACAGTGAGAGGGAAAGTGAGAAATCATCCCACAAGGGGGCTGGCCACACTGCAATCCCTTTTCCTCTATTTTACTGCTGGGATTTTGGGCATGCACATAACACGCACCCAGCGTGAGTTTCAAGCTGCCAGATCCGGGACTTGAACCATGGTAGGCCTCATGGGAATCCAGCGCCTTAACCATCGTGCCACCTGTTGGTCCATGAAAATGAGTAGCCTTTAATTATAAGTAATTTTGATAAATATATGGTAAATTGATACCAACATCAAGCACATTTTAATGACCAATATTAAGTAAGTTTAGTTGTTATTTGTTTTTATTATGAAGGTTTTATGCAGAAATTCTAAGTGACTCATAAAAAAGAAAAACTGAAATTAAATAAAAAGATATATAATTCTGTGGTAAGGAAGGTACCCTCAGTGTGGGGCCTGGAGTTGGCTGTGCTTTCAGCCAGACTTAGCCATTGCAAAGCACAGTCAAGTGAGGTACAGCGCGCTGTGATGGGCTTAGCGAGTCACTAAGCTGGGCAGGAATTTGCACTTAGAAACTAAGCAAGTAGTACTGGGATTTTACATGACGTTTAGGTGTCTTGCCAAAATAAAGTTTTTTTCTATTCCTTTTCTATACGTAACCTGTAAAGATGATCCTTTTTCAAGATAAGAATGTTTCATTTTGGTTTTTAATTGAAAAGTTCCCATATTGGTTCTTTCATTAATATATATTGCTGTAAGAATTGTTCTCTGTCCTTCATGCTTCTGTGTGTCAAATTATATTTATGTGTTTTCCTGCAAAAACTTATTTACAAAAAGAGGATTGGAAGCTTAGCCAAATACCCCAGCTAAACAACAACAACGAAAAGCTCTTGCAAACCAAAAAACAAGAAGAGAAAATAGAAACTAAGATAAATTAAAAATGTCTCTTATTGGGACTAGCAGTTGGCGTAATGGCTATGTCACTGGACTCCCATGTAGTCAACCGTTGTTCGAGTCCCAGCCTGGGTAGCTTAAAACTCACACGTGTGTGCGTGCGTGCCTAAGATCCTGAGAGGAGAATGGAGAAGAAGGGATTGTGGCATTGCCATCCCCCCTGGGGGGTGATGTCTCACTTTCTGTCTCTCTCTCTCTTTCTAGTGAACGCATCTGCCCTATAGCAAAAACCTCTCCAAAAAAAAAAAGGCTCGTATTGAAGAGCGAGGGAAGAAAGACAGTAAATTTCCTAATTTCTTTTATTTCCTTAAGGCTAGGTTGAAATCTTTTTAATACTTTAGTATGCCCTCTTTGGAAAAATGGTATCACATTGTTTTCCCTTAAGAGAAGGGGCCCGCAGTGGGCAGCAGTTAAATGCGATGCTCTCTGAGGCTGACCTGTATGGGAAGGTTCCAGGCTCATGTCTGCATAGCTCCCTGAGTACACCAGACACACATGTGCCCATGAGCTGGAGCTGGCTGAGGCTGGGAGTGATCGTGGCATGCAGACCCTGCTGGATGTACTGTCTCTCCCTCTCTGTCTCTCTTGCTCATGGAGATAAAAGCTTAAAAAACATAAGAGGAAAATAATATGCTTCTCTTGAATATGCTATTAAATCGGGCTGTTTAGATGTAATTCTCTAGTTACGGAGTTGAGAATAGAGAAATAGCATGGACCCCTCAGTAAAATTTTCATCCTTTTCCAATTAGAATGAAGTAAAATTTTTAGTATATTTTCAGGCATGATTTTTGTATTTTAACACTACAGTTTATTTAAATGTGATATCGTTTCTGTGAGAACAGTGTCAAACATTTCAGAAGTTAGATTTGTAGGCATGTTATAAAATTATTTATTCTTTTAGCTATCAGCCACAATGATTGTGGCTATTTGGACTGCTAACAGAAAACTGTCAAAAAAAAAAAAAAAAAACCAAAACAAACAAACAAAAAAACATGTTCTCATCATAATGTACATTGGCCTAGGTAACATAGAATGCTTTCATTTTTGCACAGAAAAATACGTCATGGCTTTTCTGACGACCCAAGAGTTGTATAAATCCTAAATTCCACTCAGTACATACTGATATATACACTAAAAGTACATGTAAGTTAGTGTCTAATATATATTAGTTCAATAGAGTATTTACAAAAACTAGTGTAAGTTCTTCCAGTTATCCTTATATGTGGCATCATAACTCACTTTTATATAAAACATTGATGTTAAACTTATTTTTAAATCGTCTTGGGCATGCTTTTGAAATGATCCTTTAATATGCATTTATTTAAACCTAAATTAAATATAAGACACCAGTAGTATGTAAGATGTTGTAGTGAGTTGGGTCAGGGAGCTGCCAAGTCAGTAAAGTCCCTGCTCCTTTGCAGTTTGGGCAAGCAGGAGTTGCAGCAGGGAACCCACCTAGCTATATAATCTGAACAAATGAAGAGCCCGCATTTCTCACAAGAAAAATCCACTGCTACACAAGTTTCTTTTACATACTCAGCATGCTAATTATATGTTTCTTGAAGTTGGAACAAGATTTATGCTTTTTGAATTTTACTTCCTTTTAAGGAAAGTACAGGTAATTAAGGAAAATAAAGACCTTGTTTCAGATATGTTGTCATTTACTGGATATTTGCCAAAGAGATAGAAAAATGTGGACTTGACTAATAATAAGTTTATTTAAATTATTAATGGTTGATTGGGTGATCACCTAGGATTTTGGTTTGTAGTGTTTTAGTTGTTGAGCATCAGGCATGGTGGTTATGCAAAGGTTTAAAACGGTTTTATTCCAAATAGAACATTTATTCTGTCCCTTCTCCCTTTTCTTTCCAGTATTGCTGAATGCTGCAGCACTCCTTATTCTCTTTTGGGTCTGGTCTTCACGGTTTCTTTTGTTGCCTTGGGTGTTCTGACACTCTGCAAGTTTTACTTGCAGGGTTATCGAGCTTTCATGAATGATCCTGCCATGAATCGGTAAGTTCTTCATTTGAATGTGTCTAGAAATTTAAATCCTATAGATAATTTGAAGTAATGGTGAATTTCTTTGGTCAGTGAGTTTTAGAGAAAATGGAATTTTGAGAATTTTTTTTGAATGGTTGCAATATCTGGATTAAAGTACTATGAAAAAATAAATTTCTGTGTAAGAAAGACATTTTTATTATGTGTACATTATGATATAGTAGACACCTTTCTTTCCTTGATTTTAAGGGATTTTTCAAACACTTTTTCCCATTTTTATATGAAAAACCATTCACTTTTCCAAGATTATGAAGACATTCACTCAAGATTTTATCTTTTATAATCATAATTTTGTTCATGATGTAAGTAAGTTACAGTTCAGTATATCTAAGAACATCAGAAGTATCTGGCTCATTAACAAAGCATCTTAGAAGAAGTTGCTTTTTTTCTCCCACTCATTGCATGCTAAAATAATAGCTGATTATTCTTTTCTGCATGTAATGATACATGTGATTGTATATTATAGTATTAATGTTCAGTGATATGAAGTTAGTATTCTAATCAGGCTTTTAGTCAGATTAAAAAATATGTAACAACAATCTATGCCTTTATATTATTTTTCTCTTTGGAATGAAATGAGATTTGGATTATTGATCGATTTATTTTCTGAAAATGTATGCTTTTTCAGGGGTATGACAGAAGGAGTGACACTCTTGATCTTGGCAGTGCAGACTGGGCTGATAGAGCTACAGGTGGTTCACCGG